TGAAAAAATGAGCTGTCGGGATTTGTTTTTTCTAAAATGTTGTTGACATATCGAATATGACAAACATATACCTGTCTAGAATATTAATGTATAGTAAAATATCCATTAGGCATACCTTTCTAAATGTTTTCTGATATCATTCATTGTTCATGAAATGAAATTTACTGGTGCCTGACACTGGAAATGGGCGATATTTAACATATACATGTTAAAAACAAGATAGGCTATTGTGAAATTGGGGATTAAGAATCCAAATTGAGTTAAACAACAGTATGACTTTTTAATACATTTTTTTAGTCGGTGGCTCAGTCGGTAGCGTCACGGACTTCGGTCCAAGGCAGCGATGTCGTGGGTTCGGATCCTGGTCACTGTCGATAAAATTTATCAGTACAGTTCACCTTTGTACTGTACCGTCTCACCCCTTGCTTTGCTGGATACGTTCCACGCACGGGCAGTTAATCTATGTGGACGGGCAAATGCTAAGGTTAAAAGAGGCCGCCAACCTCTAAAAAAAAAATGTCATCACCAAATAGTTGAGGAATAGAATAAATGTCTTTTGGTGATTATGGTTTTATACGCTAACTTTTTGATCAAGCCAAACTGTAGACAAAATGACGAGGATGACCTATCAAAATAAGCGGCTATGATGCAGGGTGGCTACTGTTATGAATGTTAATTTAAATTTAACATTTCCTGTTCGCTCATTAGCATGTCTGTAAGCGTCTAGTAATCGTAGTTTCAGATGTTTAAAACCGGGCCCAGATATCACGGATCATCGTAGTTCGCATTCAAATCTAGTATTTTACGAGTCAACAAGAAAACCTGATACAGCGCGTGGCCCTTTGACCTTTTTTGTTTGGGTCCCAGACATTTTGTTGTTTATGTACCTAAATAAAATCAACCTCGACATCTTAAAAACATTTTAATAGTGGAACCACATGGTTGACAAAACAAATTTTGGTTCATGCTTTGGAAACGTATTGTGAGAGGTGTATTGAATACCAATCACAGAAATAGGAAAATAATAAAAATCTACTTTCCAGTTTGGACAATAATATAAATGATCATGACGGGCCTCTTGAAAAAGATTTACACTTATCAACAGTGTTAAAATTGTAATATGTATTGTGTTGTTTGATAATCAATTTGAAGCCACACGCACACAATGAAAAGTGCTTAAAATGATTTTGTACCCAGGTAAGTAATTTTTTATATCACTGCCTATCTCTATCATTCTTACGATAATTTTGATTGATTTTTTGGACAAGAAATTAAAGGGTGTAACGGACCTATGTAAATTGTTTCACAAACATGTTACTGCGAATTAAAGAACGTCTGAACCTCCTTATGTAATAAAAGGAGGACAATATGGAGCAGAAAATAACAGATTTATTACATAAATAAAACAGGAGAAGCAAATAAATAGTAGAAGTAATTATAGATCAATACGGACACCTAATGACGAGTTTAAAGGCTGTTTCATGGCTTCTCAACGCGTGACATAGTAACGTCACTGGTTGAAACTAACTTAATTTTACGTTGGTTGGTACACAATATACAGTATCTGGTTTTTGTTATGTCAAGATTTAATGTGTCCGTTAAACTAATTATAGTCCAGGCAACGAAGCCAAACAATATCAAATTGAGGAAAAACATTTTATGTATAAGAGAAATGTGGTAAAGTAGGGGAAGGGTCCCTAAACAACATACTAAAAGTGCCAACCGGTTCGAGTGGAGCTAAGGGGGCTAGGGTTGTCTAAAGGTTACGAAAACTATGAACTTTTTGTATACAATACTAAATTGGCAGATTATAAAAGATTATATTTCCTGCAATAAAAGTATATGATGTAACTATTTATGTTCAACCATCTACAAGATACAATAAATATCTTATTCAAATACTTCTTCCATAGGAAATACATGTAAATTTGTATGAAAATAAATGCCAACCGTGGTAAAGCCTATAAACCTATGGACGGTTAATATAACCGATATTCTTGAAATCTCCACAATTCCCAGCAATTTGACACTTTAATCATAAAAAAATGGTCCAAAATTAAGGCGTTGGTGAGCTCACAAAAACCATGTAATCTTATATGTTTTATTTGAATCATAAAAATATTTATGTTAATTAGGCAAAAATGTAAATTAAACTTTCCTTTTGGAGATTTAACATAAGGTAAACTTGTTTTCATTTGGAGATATAGCCTCTGGATCGTTATTGAACATAATTAAATCAAAGGCTTACCTTACATCTAATTTATTTTTATAGTGGAGACCTAGGTTTCTACGACGAAACGTTATCGTCAGTCCTTTGTCTCATAGGAAGTCCCTTGGGCTTTTTTCTGCCCCAGTGGCTTTTTAAAATTCTCCCGTTATCCTAATACAGAACATATTTGTATACATTATGATTAGGTGGATAATTTAATTGCTGTTAGTTATTAAGGAAACGTGTGCTACAAACATTTACTGACTTGGTTTGAATAAAATATTTGAATTTGGGTTGGAGTAAATATTACAATACTTTGGAAAAAAGCAAAGAAGCCTGTACAACTTAAAATACCCACCACGAGTTGGTTGATTACGCTCATCGGTTGTATCAGAGTCTTTGCTGATCTCAACTTTCGTTTGATTTCCCCGTTCCAAGTCATATTACTGCTGGTGACAATGAAAGTGGGTAATTGCTGATGGGAACCTGGTTTTTGGCACAGGCGGCTCACGACACTTCTCTTGTATACTATATAGTCTCACCGCCCTCGATGTCAGTATTGCCTCCTCCTCCGAACTGTGAGTACTTCAACGTCTTATTGGCTACATAGATTAAGCTTGTTTTTATTTCAATTTTTAATATTTAAGAGATTAAATTTATAATTTTAGAAGTTTTTTTCTAATTTTTGAACGATAGATATTTTATAAAATGATAACTTGATTTTTTATTATAAATTATATTTCGTATTGTTATATTTTAAAATTTTATAAGAACACATTTGGTGACGATTTACAACATAATCATTGACATTAAAATCGCTGCAGCCGCTGAACCCGAAATTATTTCAGAGTTCGTATTTACATTCTAAGGGTCATTACATTGATCTTACAAAACATAAACTCACTTACAAAGTGACAAGAACCGATCAACCCCCAAACTAAAATGAACATGCTAAAAATAAAGAAATGACACATCGTGTGTATTTAGTTGGTTGTTGTTCACTGATAAGTCATAAAACTACTTTGGGCACACAACGAAAGTGAAGCTATACAATCTAAATTTGATATTAGTCTAATTAAAGCATTTTTAGCGAATTTCCCTATAGGGAAGTAGCTATTACCGTAGGTCTCATGGTAAGACTTAGGCCCGGGACCGATTTACTTTTTCATTTTAATGTCCCCAGAGGCCAAAAACACCATTCGTTCAAATTTTTATATATGTATATATATATATATATATAGGTATATATATATATATAGATTTATATATATATATATGTGTCCGTGAACACGATAACTTGAGTAATTTTTATCAGATTTTGATGAAATTTGGTTTGAAGGTGTAAGGCAGGATAAACTTGAATGAGTTCGCGATCCAGCATGATCGGTCCATGGGAACAGGGTTTTATGGGGGGTTTTATGGGGTAAAAATTGGTTTTTCTCACTTTTTACCCTCAAAACACAAAATTTCCCAATTTTTCTCTAAACCTTCTTAAATAGCTTAAAAAACAAACAATTCAGTATATCAAAGTGTTTTTGTACGGTTATTGGTTACGGAGAAAACTAAAAAATTGTAAATTTAAAATTCCCATGTTATTCTTATGGAGAATATTGTAAAATGTTGTAGTTTGCTTGTTTATGGATATATTTTGATCAAACTTGGCAAATTTATTTATTTTATAGTAAGCTATCAATATTTTACTAAAAACACACTACTTTATTAGTTTCCTTGTAGCAGCAAACCTAGGTACTCGTTAAACCTAATGTTATTTAAATAGATCAATTGAAAATCAATTCGGCCAAATGGAAATTCGCTTAGACGGCAGGTTTGCTGCGGCGGGGGTATATTTTTACATTTATTGTATTTTCCCAACATTTCAAACTAAAGAGTAAAAGTTTATTGTTGTTGTAGGGTAATAGGATACCGCAATTATAACTCCCTCATCGTTTGTGGTCTTGTAGAGTGAAGAGGAGGACGACTTGAGGTGGATGTCTGCGCGATTTTAACGTTATTGACCGCATCGCGGAGACGTTCCGGGTGGCCGACGTCAGATTTGCCTTGACATCAAGGCGAATTAAAACAGCATTAGTTAAAAACTATTACGATTCGGCAAGAGCTAGTAAAACAAATTTCAACGAAACTAACGACTGTATAATTGTTATAGGCCGTGGCGGGATATGGACTGTGCAACTTTACAATTCAACGGCCTGAACGAATTACATTGCTAAATGTTCTGCTTTATATTCATCTCAACTCTCTGCTCACACCAGATGCTTGCTAATAATAATTAAGTTATTTAGCAAAATAATGTAAAATTAATTATTTTTGTACGTGCAAAAGCAATACTTTTTAATAATTTACTAACACTGGATATTTTACGATTTAAAATCATGTTTTAACCATACCATGATGATTGAATGTTTGTAGATCCTCTATAGTTGAGATTTTTTCTGTTTCATCTCGTAGTGAATATTGCTCGGCCGAAATATTAGCACTACTGTATATTTTTTAGTTACTGCATTAATACACAGTAGTAATGTCGCTTATACTTAAGTAGATTCCTGAAAAACCTAAAAAGTTTTCAAAAATGTCAATATTTTTCTATAACAACAATTTGTATTTCTATGAAGTAAATAAATTTAGTATATCAAAATAATTATATCCTTTCGCCAGTTTTTTTTTTCACATGACGTTTAGCGTAATAGTGATTGTTTAGAAAAGGATAGTAGGCCTAATACAACCTTCTGTTCCACCCAGATGCCCTCTGACTAACTGGGGAGCCGACTCCACGATGCTTCACTGGCTGCAAGTCCTGCTAGGAGGTCTCCTCCTGGGCGTCGTCCTGACTGCCACAGAATCTCCCCTGACCACCGCAACACCATCCACTCTCATACCCGCACACAACAACAACAACAACACTACGCCGCTGTTCACCGCCCACCTTACCGAGGAGCCGTGGTTCCCCTACAGAGAGTTGCTGCTGGAGTGTCTGGTGCAGATGTCATGGCCTTGTGCGCAGAGGAAGATGATTGTCTACCTCGACCAGCTCAACAGAGCCAGGAGTGTCAGCATTCTCGGTGAACTACTCACCCTAGTCAAGGTAAGTACCACACTTAGTACTTGATACACGTTGTAATGGGATTTGATCTTACAAATGTTAACTTTAACCAAATTAATTATCTTTGTTTAAACGTATGATGAGTTTAAAAGATCAATGGATAAAACAACTTAGTAGCAAATGTATGGTCTATTAAAAAGCCATTTCACACGGTATAATCGAAGTATTCTATACTTCCCTAATGGAACAATACTATTTTCTATACAGTATTTAAAAGGTTTTCGGTTTGACATAAAATCAGCAGAGAAAGGAAGTAATAATATTCACGGCTCATATTTCCTATTGAAATACCCATTGAAAATTTAACTAAATGTTTCACTTTATTAAAAATATTCATGTGGCATGCTTTACGAAAAGCAATTTGTGAGAGAATTCAATTGTCTGATAAAATATTATTTTTCAAAGTAGGCTAACATGGAACCGTTAGATAGTTTTCCCATTGCCAATGTACTGGTTTGCCGGACAGGTGCGTGTAGACAACATCCCACCCATCACGGAGGCACAGCTGACTGCTCGCAGGATAGACCAGGACCAGGACACGTTGTACAATCTGCTGGAACTGGCTGCTGACAGGTTCGTTGACACTCACGTACTGAGGGTGAACGTGCCCTCACTGGAGGGTGGCGTGCTGAGGGTCACTCCCCTGGACGTCAACTTCGTCACTGCCGACGGTGACACTGAGGGACGAGCTCTGCATCGCACTGGTAAGTTACATTCCTGCAATCAGATCAGTATGAATGGAATGTAGTACATTTTACCTCAAATATAGCTTAATTGAATGTTTATACAGTATCACATTTCACACTAGGTTGTGTATTTAAAGGCGAATTTAAGAGAAGGATGAATGAGACGTTGTTACTAAAGATTAGCTCTCTAGTCAGTACTATAAAACTAATCATACAAGCCCGATGATCAAGGGGAGCTGGGGTTTACGATCATTCTAAAAGCTTCTCAATTTTCTCAGGATCAAACATTCTGACTATCAGCATTAGGCAAACACCACTCACCTACAGAGATTCTACCTTAGTTTTTTATACTTTGCTGATTGAATGTGGTATAAAAGGTAAATTAGTTATCAATTAGTCATCCTATCAGTTCAGTTTGGTCAGTGATTTGGTATATTCAATTGATATAATTCCACTCATAGGTGGCTCGATTCTTTGTCCATGTTTATCTTTTTTTTTTGCTACGGCTATAAGCAGGAAAACAATGACTAAAATAATGAAGAAAAAATCCCTCACCGAAACAACTGCTTATTTAGTATTCATAGTTAGCCGTTCCATCTCTACCTCGGTCCAGAGCTAGACGATTAATTGGTTGCTCAGAAATAATTAAAATTGCTAGTTAATTTCAAATATCTAGATCCGAATAAAATTACACGTACTTTTACTGTACATTTTACATTTTTGGTATAGCCAGACTATTTTTATTTGTCAAACCTTGATTTAAGATAGCATGGTGTAAAAAAATTTGAAGCTAAATAATCTTTGTTACAGGTAGGGGAAAGAAAGGTGGAGGTATGATGGACAAAGGAATGATGATGGACAAGGGAGGTGGCAAGATGAAAATGAAGGGAGGAAAAATGATGATGAAAATGATGATGATGGCAGGAAAGAAAATGATGATGATGATGGGGAAGATGGTGATGGTTAAGATGATGATGATGGTGCCCATTGCAATGAAAAAAGGGATGATTGGAGGAATGGCGGGCCTCATGTCCATGGGTATGATGAAGATGATGCTGATACAGAAGGTCATATCTTTGATCAAACAGAAGTTAGCGAGCTGCGGAGGCGGGTTAGGTGGAGGAGGAGGTGGTGGTGGCGGCGGAGACTGCGGTGGTGGCGGCGGAGGCGGATACGGCGGTGGCGGCGGAGGCGGATACGGTGGTGGCGGCGGAGGCGGATATGGCGGTGGCGGCGGAGGTGGTGGTTGGGATCGTACCTACAATACCAACGGCCCCCAATACTCACAGTTTTCACAAGGATACTCACAAAACTCCAACCTGCCATACGTTTATTATTACCAGGCACCACAAGAAGAAAACAACGATGGGTGGAGTTTATGGAAACGAAGGTAGTAGTTCGAACTTCAGTTGAAACCTTCCTGTTTGGGTCGAAATGGAAGCCATTTAAAAGGACGTTTTATCAGTGCCACGAACAGTTTCAATGCGACGCAATCGATTCCTATAGTTATGCACTTTGTTGTATAAAATCCTATATAATAGATGCATTCATCTATTGTTAATGTATGCAACTGTCGTTGATATATTGTATAAATCCCTTTGATAAAATATAAGTATGATTATGTATGTATGTATTTATTATGTAGTAGTAATTTAAACAGTTTTTATATTATTTATTTCCATTTAATAAACATATATTTAAAATTTCTGTGTATTTTATTTCAGTGAACAAAATATATTTTTGGTTGTCTCTTAACTCTTTAAACCTTGACTGTAATTTATAAATCTAGTACAGTTTAGGATAAAAGGCCAAGGATGGCCAGGTTTTGGGGTTTTACCAATTGTAAAACTGTGTAAACTTCAAGTCGAAAAAACTTGTATTACGAATGATGATACGATAAAAATTCGAAGAATTTCAAAGCAAATTTGAATTACTACTATAGAAATTATCTCTCATTTACTTGGTTGAACTAATATCAACCATTCGAAAATTAAGAAATTACACAACACCATATTCTAAGATCATTACAATATTTTATATGGAGTGTATGTGTATATTCAATAGATATTACAATATTGTTTTTATTGGAAAATACGGCTATTTAAACACAGTTCATGTGTATTATTCCAATTTTTAGCGAATTTCACATATAGGGAATAAGCTATTACCGTAGTACTCATGGTAAAACCTGGACCAGGGACCAATTTACTTTTTCGTATTGAGGTCTTTAAAGGCCAAAAACACCATCCGTTCAAATTCATACGTATATGTATATTCATATATTTAAATATATATATATATGTGTGTGTGTGTGTCCCTTAGCACGATAATTTGAGCAAAAATGATCCGATTTTGATGAAATTTGTTACAAACGTGTAAACCTACATGTATTCGAACGAGTTCGCGAATCAGCATGATTGGACTATGGGAACAGGGGTTTATGGGGTAAAAATAGGGTTTTCCCATTTTTGACTCTAAAAACACAAAATTTCACAACTTCTTTCCAAACCATTTTGTAGAGCTTAAAAAAACAAATGATTTAGTATATTGAAGCGTTATTATGCACCTAATGGTTGTGGAGAAAATTCCAAAAAATTTTAAATTTAAAATTTCCATGTTATTCTTATGGAGAATAAATCAACTGTTGTGGTTTGCTTATTTATGAACAAATTTTGTTCGAATTTGGAAAATACATTCATTTCTTACTAAACTATTAAGATTTTAACAATAATCACTTTTTTACCCCCCTATTGCAGCAAACCTAAGTACTCTTTAAACTAATTATGTTTAAATAGGGAATAAAATGTGATATTTTTAAGGAGACATTTTAATGTAAATCCAATCAGGCAGATGGAAATTCGCTTAGTCTGCAGGTTAGCTGTGGCGGGGGTATTTATATTTAAGAAGTGCAGCGATATAAAATCATTGAAAGTGTACAGGAAATGTAAATTAACTGTCCCAAAGTAAGCACTCATTAGGCTAAGCGCTCACTACATGCGCCCGAAGGACATATCATCTAAACTTAATTAAAAAGAGTCACTTATAAAAAAAAGCCGAATATGCAGTAAAATTAGTACAAAATTGGCCGTGCCTGGAAATAATTCTAGAAAGCTGGAATTTGTTTTAATCTATCTATTTTATATGTGCATTAAAAGGATTTAAAGTTTGACCCATTTTTCCAGGTGAGCTTTTGACCTAATACCAAAAATCCTTGAAATTTGAGGTTATTTTTTCAGTTTTTGCTTAAACGTCAAAAAACCATCCATCCTAAAGAAAAACAAAACATAAAAGAATTGTAGAGCACAAAATTGAAAATCCATTATGCATTTGGTAATGAAAATCGAACAAATAATAAGTGATTTATAGTAATTTAAATATTTTGTTGTTGAAATTATTGAGCATTGCTACCCATTACATTGATCATTATATGTGTGTGTGTGTGTATGTGTCCGTTACCACGATAACTCGAGTAAAAACTAATGAAATTTAGTACAAACCTGTTCGGATGAGTTAGCGCAGAAGCATGATCGGACTACGGATACAGGGTTTGTAGGTAAAATTTGAGTTTTCTCATTTTTGACCATATAAAAATAAAATATTTTCTCTCTAAGCCAGCATAAACACAGCTTGAACCAGCGGTGGAGTGTATATCCGTCAACACGCGTGTATCACCTACACATGTAGAGTAGTGTGTTGTAACTAGCTGCTACAGTTTGTCGGCACTAGGTTGTAATGTACAGTGTTGAGCCAGTGGTGGTGCGTATATCCGTCAACACGCGTGTATCACCTACACATGTAGAGTAGTGTGTTGTAACTAGCTGCTACAGTTTGTCGTCACTACAGGTTGTAATGTACAGTGTTGAGCCAGTGGTGGAGTGTATATCCGTCAACACGCGTGTATCACCTACACATGTAGAGTAGTGTGTTGTAGCTAGCTGCTACAGTTCGTCGCCACTACAGGTTGTAATGTACAGTGTTGATCCAGTGGTGGAGTGTATATCCGTCAACACGCGTGTATCACCTACACATGTAGAGTAGTGTGTTGTAGCTAGCTGCTACAGGTTGTCGTCACTAGGTTGTAATGTACAGTGTTGAGCCAGTGGTGGAGTTTATATCCGTCAACACGCGTGTATCACCTACACATGTAGAGTAGTATGTTGTAGCTAGCTGCTACAGTTTGTCGTCACCGTGTTGTAATGTACAGTGTTGATCCGGTGGTGGTGCGTATATCCGTCAACACGCGTGTATCACCTGCACATGTAGAGTAGTGTGTTGTAACTAGCTGCTACAGTTTGTCGTCACTACAGGTTGTAATGTACAGTGTTGATCCAGTGGTGGTGTGTATATCCGTCAACACGCGTGTATCACCTACCATGTAGAGTAGTGTGTTGTAGCTAGCTGCTACAGTTTGTCGTCACTAGGTTGTAATGTACAGTGTTGTGCCAGTGGTGGAGTTTATATCCGTCAACACGCGTGCATCACCTGCACATGTAGAGTAGTGTGTTGTAGCTAGCTGCTACAGTTTGTCGTCACTAGGTTGTAATGTACAGTGTTGAGCCAGTGGTGGAGTTTATATCCGTCAACACGCGTGTATCACCTGCACATGTAGAGTAGTGTGTTGTAGCTAGCTGCTACAGTTTGTCGTCACTAGGTTGTAATGTACAGTGTTGAGCCAGTGGTGGAGTTTATATCCGTCAACACGCGTGTATCACCTGCACATGTAGAGTAGTGTGTTGTAGCTAGCTGCTACAGTTTGTCGTCACTAGGTTGTAATGTACAGTGTTGAGCCAGTGGTGGAGTTTATATCCGTCAACACGCGTGTATCACCTGCACATGTAGAGTAGTGTGTTGTAGCTAGCTGCTACAGTTTGTCGTCACTAGGTTGTAATGTACAGTGTTGAGCCAGTGGTGGAGTTTATATCCGTCAACACGCGTGTATCACCTACACATGTAGAGTAGTGTGTTGTAGCTAGCTGCTACAGTTTGTCGTCACTAGGTTGTAATGTACAGTGTTGAGCCAGTGGTGGAGTGTATATCCGTCAACACGCGTGTATCACCTGCACATGTAGAGTAGTGTGTTGTAAATAGCTGCTACAGTTTGTCGTCACTACAGGTTGTAATGTACAGTGTTGATCCAGTGGTGGTGTGTATATCCGTCAACACGCGTGTATCACCTACACATGTAGAGTAGTGTGTTGTAGCTAGCTGCTACAGGTAGTCGTCACCGTGTTGTAATGTACAGTGTTGAGCCAGTGGTGGAGTGTATATCCGTCAACACGCGTGTATCACCTGCACATGTAGAGTAGAGTGTTGTAACTAGCTGCTACAGTTTGTCGTCACTACAGGTTGTAATGTACAGTGTTGAGCCAGTGGAGGAGTGTATATCCGTCAACACACGTGTATCACCTGCACATGTAGAGTAGTGTGTTGTTACTAGCTGCTACAGTTTGTCGTCACTACAGGTTGTAATGTACAGTGTTGAGCCAATGGTGGAGTGTATAACCGTCAACACGCGTGTATCACCTGCACATGTAGAGTAGTGTGTGGTAACTAGCTGCTACAGTTTGTCGTCACTACAGGTTGTAATGTACAGTGTTGAGCCAGTGGTGGAGTGTATATCCGTCAACACGCGTGTATCACCTACACATGTAAAGTAGTGTGTTGTAACTAGCTGCTACAGTTTGTCGTCACTACAGGTTGTAATGTACAGTGTTGAGCCAGTGGAGGAGTGTATATCCGTCAACACGCGTGTATCACCTGCACATGTAGAGTAGTGTGTTGTAACTAGCTGCTACAGTTTGTCGTCACTACAGGTTGTAATGTACAGTGTTGAGCCAATGGTGGAGTGTATAACCGTCAACACGCGTGTATCACCTGCACATGTAGAGTAGTGTGTTGTAACTAGCTGCTACAGTTTGTCGTCACTACAGGTTGTAATGTACAGTGTTGAGCCAGTGGTGGAGTGTATATCCGTCAACACGCGTGTATCACCTGCACATGTAGAGTAGTGTGTTGTAACTAGCTGCTACAGTTTGTCGTCACTACAGGTTGTAATGTACAGTGTTGAGCCAGTGGTGGAGTGTATATCCGTCAACACGCGTGTATCACCTGCACATGTAGAGTAGTGTGTTGTAACTAGCTGCTACAGTTTGTCGTCACTACAGGTTGTAATGTACAGTGTTGAGCCAGTGGTGGAGTTTATATCCGTCAACACGCGTGTATCACCTGCACATGTAGAGTAGTGTGTTGTAACTAGCTGCTACAGTTTGTCGTCACTACAGGTTGTAATGTACAGTGTTGAGCCAGTGGTGGAGTGTATATCCGTCAACACGCGTGTATCACCTGCACATGTAGAGTAGTGTGTTGTAACTAGCTGCTACAGTTTGTCGTCACT